TTTTGATACAAAACTGTAAATGCGATGAAAATCAACACTTAATACAAACCATTCATACATTCAATGATAACTACAATCAACTCAAGAGTCAACACTTACCACAAGAAGTCAATGAAGTATGAATGACACGAATGAAGAGATAATTGTGGCCACAGATGACAACACACGCGATGGCAGTGAAAGTGAGACAAAAACCAAAGCAAATGGTAATCAAAATATGACTCAAAAGAAGTTATCTTTGATTAAAACTAACCATTCATTTGACTCTTCATTAGTTGTATTATTCAACAAAACGACGGGAAGTACTAAACAAGTGGTGAAAAGTGATAACAAAATTGTGGTCAAAAGTGTCAAACTATTTGTCTGTCAATCGAAAGGCTGTGAAAAACATTTCTTTAATAAGCGTTGGTTTGAGGCTCACATGAAAACCCATTCCTCTGAAGCCATCAATGGTTCCGATAAGTCTAGAGTAGGCTCTAAAATAGTGGTTAAAACTTTGTTGAAGACCACAAAGAGTCGTACAAAACCTCTTAATCCGGGTTTCACTATAAATGAAACAACACTTCCATCAAAAACACAAGTTTTGTCACAAATTAGATCTAATAAACGGTTACAACAGAAACAACTTCTGGAAGCCATTCAACGCCAGAAACGATTCAAATGTAATGTCAAAGACTGTGGGAAACAATTTGCATATAAAGTAGAGTTGAATAACCACTCGAGAACTCATATCTCGAAAACTATTCGTTGTTTGGACACTAACTGCGAGTTTGTCACCGAAGACAAGACACAATTGATTGAACACATGGATCACATGCACTCAATCACACTAACGATATGTGACTTTGAGTCTTGTGGTGAACTGTTCACTAATAAAGAGTTATTCACATCGCATGTGAAACAGTGCCACAAGACTGACACAGAAATGGCAGCAACTTCTACGACAGAGTTAGAAACTGATGCAGACTTTCGGTGTTCTTTGGATAGATGTGGCCAACAGTTCACTAGCGAAGAGTTATTCATAACACATGTGAATGAGTGGCACAAGAGTGCCATTATCACCAAAAGTGGCTCAAAGACTATTGCAGTGTTTCGCTGTTCATTACATTCTTGTGGCAAATGCTTCCTCTATGAG